ACCACAACACAATAGTGCAGCTCCACATTAATTAGCCTATAAGAAGAAGTGACCTAGCTGCTATCTGTCCGTCTATAGCTGCACCTTAAGTCTTTATTTTCACCCTAAGCTTGACAATTGAACTGTCACACAGATATCGACTGTTTCAATCGATATCAGATGGAATCCGTTTAAAACGAGCTGCGTTAATGTTTTCGCTCCTTTACCTCCGGAGCTGTTTGGCTGTCGTCGGGCCACTTGTTCCCGGGTGTCCCTCGTCACGTCCTCCTGTTCTTCAGACCGTGCCTCGGCCATCTCTCCCCCGTTCTTTCTTTCCTTCTTTGTGCTTTACTGTCCTCTTGTCTGCCTGGGGCAAAACGGAGACAGCATTATTCCCCCTCCCGTTGTTGTGTTGTCGCTAACACCCACCACAACAACTCGGGACAAGTTCACCTCAACACAACGTTGTACGTCGAAACGTCCTCCCGGGTTACTTCAACACTTGGGCTCGGTGTTCGGCGGCTCCGGAGGTGCGAAACTGTTCAAATGTCTTGTAGTCCTAAGACCAGTACTGCCGCTGCGTTGGGTTTCGGTTAAAGACTTTCTCCAAGCTTCCCTGTGGCCCCGGTCGCGAGCTCACCATACAGAGCGGCGCTGCACGCGCTGCGCTCCGGCTGAGTGACGTCACCAACTGAAAAAAATGGAGGACAAAACAATGAGCTGACAAAACTGATGTGGCTCCTTGTGCTGAAGTGTGGAATGAGGACGTAGATCCAGAGAGGTGGTCCGTGATGGCACAGACCCGGGCCCTACCTGAGGAAGAAGGTGACAGGTAGCAGCAGGGATGGATTACCGGTTTGACTACTGTCCACAGGCCCAGGGGCCCCTAAACCCTCAGACCCCCAGACCCCTGTCTCTGTTTGACTTGTGTTAACACTTCTTGTTGGTCAGGTGTTCAAATAAGCTGAAAAAGACATAAAGCAACCACAAAGAAAGAGAAAATGACAACAAATATACAGAGTGATTGCAAAGATGTGCAACATGACCACAAAGACACTCAAATCTAA